TGTAATCTAGTTTAATCATATTGCTATGATAAGTCATACATACCTAATTACGCCATTAAACCCTTTGGCGAAAGTACATCCGATATACAGTGGTCCGTCATTGAAGACAACATTTTGCGTTTTAACGTTCTGCATAGAATAAAATCCCACCCATTCACTATCTATGTATATATCTAACCGTTTTTCAGGGTCAGAAAGAGTATAAGTTAGATGATACCATTTGTCTAACAAAAGTCCATCACCGAGCTCTTCTATTCCTGCACTACTATCCCAATTTCCTGTGAAGCGAGCATGCAATGCGGATTTGTTTGCCGTTAGCCAGAACCCAGGCGTCCGAACAAAAGTTTCTGTTCCTAAATATGTGAATTATATTTGAGACCAAGAAAACAAGAATCTAAGAACAACAGTTATTCTTACCTTTGTGAAAAATAGTAGCCCATTCAGATGTATGACTCTTAAGTTTTAGTCGTAATGTCACAGAAAGTTCATCTTCCACCACAGGCAATTTATCATGTTCAAAGACTCTTTGAGTATTTTCATTAAAGGCAATAGGGTCTGAAATGAGCTCTGCCCATTCTTTCTTCATTTTAAAGAAACAAATAATTAATTAAATAATAGTATGTTTTATTTCAATAAGTTAAATTAATGCAATAGGAAAGTAAAAAAAAAAAAAAAAAATTGCTTGCCTTGCTTATAAAATAACCTCAAACGGTAAGATCATCACAAAAAATATCCCTTTTTATCTAAATTTGGGGTGGCTAAGGCCGGGTTCGATCTCGTGACTCGCAAAATATTTGTCACGGAATTTTTTCGGTATGTGATTTCTTATTTGTCACATATTTATTTGTCACCGGGACTATCACCTTAATGCTGGCCAAAATATCGTGATCGAACCCGGCTTTAGCTACCCTCACTTGCATTCGAAAGCTTTTGCTCTTCGGTCAATCGCTCTGAACCCTATTTGATGACTTATAAAAATCATGATGGCAAAACATTTGATTAGCTTTGTAGAAGAATTATCGGCTTATAAAAGATGAATAAAAAATAAACAAAAACAATAAAAATTGAAAACAGTTTATATGGAATTAAAATATGACTGGACTAATGCTTTTAAAATAATGCTTATATTTTCCTAATCGCGTAATATGTTATAAAATGATTTTTTTTTTTGAAAACTGATACGAGAAATGGCGTCATTTAATGAAATGTCTGAGGAAACACTAAAAGAATATTTAAACGAAATTGTAGAAGAACTACTTTTCGGGTAAGATCGTTTCGGAAATACACGTGTATATCCTTAGTTTCCATTTTGTATTTTTTAATATTTTAATTTTTTTTTTATTTCATTTCCTTTAAAATTATTCACTTTCGGTTTAGATAGCTTCGTATGTCGGTCTGTAAGATTTAAATTTTATAATTTTTTTATTTTTTTTAAATTCCGGTTTGATCGGGTTGCACCCTGATCAAATATTTTATTTTTGATTTTTTTTTTTCGACATTCCGCAATTTATTTTTCTCAAATCTAATTTAAGCTTGTCCAGTCCAATTTACAGAGCATTACCATACAGGTTAAAGTGTCGAAATAATATATTGTATCTATTCTTTGAAAATGCGATTTGCGATTATATCAACATAAATTCTAAGGAAAACAATAATTTTTTATAAGAAATAACAAGTTGTCCACACCATTTTATGTTTATTCTAAAGTCATTGAATCACATCACAGAGTCATAGATTTCATCGTGGAAAATGGAATGATTATACTTGCAAGTTCAGCACACCTCAGATTCGTATTAATATCAACTTTTGTACACTTTCGATCACCTTTAATAAAAAAAGAAAAGTTAATGTTAATTATAGAAATTCTAGACAAGTGACTCTGTGACTCTATGACTCTGACATTGTGACTCGTTAAAACTTACTCATTTCATAAGTTATATATATTCTGTAAAGAAAAGATCTGTCTATTTATAAAAATCTTTTTCTCATTGCTTTTCGCAATTAAATCCAAAATTTTTAACGTAAAAAGTTTTTTTTAATGACTCAATGTTACGCAATTAGCACGCAATTTGCTACTTTTTTTTTTCTTCAAGTTTCTACCTCTGAAAATCTTGATTACACATTACACAATAAAGACTAAACCAACAAAAGCCCAAAGTCTAACTTTATAAAATAAATATATTATGTCGTAACCACAGTAATTTTAATGAGAATTTTTTTTCGTTTTACGTTACCGCGACTTTGTTCTGTTCTGTTAACCTTGTTTGTAAGTAATATTAAAATTTTATTTATTTATTTTTTAAAAAATTGATTTGGCTATTATGAAGATAAAAATGAAAATAAAATCAGTTTTATAAATTTGTAACGCCAATGATGCACCTGATATAGAAGTAATAAATATTAATGATGTAATTTTAAATCATATTTTTGGTAAATAAGAAAAATGTTGAGCTAAATAAGAGTGAAATATATTTAAATGCACCACGAAACCAGATATTTTTCTTTTATGTAATTAACGATTAATTGTATAATTGAATAATTTATTATTCAATTCATTTATATAGTTACATGAAATGGAATATCCACTTTCAGTCAGAGATTATATAATAATTATAACGAAAAATATTTATTGATTATTTTTAAAATTATAAAGTTATCTATATTAAAACAACAAGTGTTCCGGTAGAATGAGCTTTTCTGGCGGTGTCATTCTAATAAGTCAAAAGGAACGGTCTTAAGGCAATGCATGTATGTGTTTGAAATCTGGGTGGAATAAAATATAAAAAATTAGTTTAAATTAGGATTAATATTCATCCAAAGAAAACAAATAAACTATTTTAGTTCGATCTGGATGTCGACAGAATTTTCAGTCGTAATAATAAGTCTTGGATTAGACTTAAAATTCTACAATTAAATTCTTATTTTACACTTAACCTTTGTGTTTTCACAAATACATTGTAATTTAAAATGAACGCGAACTACTTTTTTTCATCTATTAATTACTATCGCATCCGCTTTGTTCCTAAATTAAATTGTTATTTAATATAACAAATCAGCACTATAAGTCTCTTAATTTATTATATCAACGTAATCTGACACATCCGACATTACTTTATATATTTATCATTGTATTGGAAAGTGAAACAAAATTATTTGTTAAGATGAATCAATATTTCAATTATGGAACAAGAAATTTATTGGAAATGACCAGGTGAACACTTGAATAAGCCAACAGTTAAATTTGGTGGTGGTAATATTTTAATTTGGGATTGGATATATGTCGAATTCATTGATAAACTTGATGCCCATCTTTATTTAGAAATCTAAATATGAATAATATAATTTTTATAAATGATTATGATCCAAAAATAAGGCTAAACTTATAACAGAATGGATTGAAGAAATGATTTAATAGTTTTAGATTGGCCACACCTAGTCAGCCGATTTAAATCCCATTGAATATACACTAGATGAAGGTAATAGAAGTTTTACATTATTAGATAAATAATTTGTAATACATATTAATAAAATAAAAAATTCGATTTAAAAGATGTCAACATGCAATATTAAAAGTTTTCAATTTATTATTAAAAATGAAGATTCAACATACCTGAATTAATACTATCAATTTTTACTAATTTTAAAATCGAAACGGCTCAAGATCATATCATGATAGTTACGTACCGCAGTTGTTTGATAACCAGTCAAAAAATTTAATAAGCATCTTTTTTCAGCAAAGTTTACCAAGATTTCATCACTATCTTATATAATCCAGGTAAGTACTATGACGTGTTGAAAATATTTGAGTTTACAGTAAAATTCATTACATTACTATTACTTTCCAATTAAATCTGTGGGCGGAATTTAAAATTACTCAAACAATGAGATGGCACTATGAAGTTGATTGAAGTACATTGAAAATCGATGAAAGTTCAGTCAACAATAATAAATATATGTCATATTTTGTGCCTCTTAGTTATACTAAAAAAGAATGATTATACATTAAAAAAGGTGAGGTCTACGGTTATAACAAATAAGAAATTGCAATGATAATTCTTATTTGAATTGGTTTATAATGTTAAATTATGTAAATAAAATTAATTATTAACTTCATAGATACTTCATCGATTAATATTCCAAGTACCCATTTTCGTATATTTAAAATATAGCACTTTCTTTTTTTCTTTCTTTTTTTTTTTTTTTAAAGAACAATAACTCGTTAAAAAATAAATTAACATAAAATCTGCTCGAGCATCATTTGTTGGAAATTCAAACGGGACTTAGTCAGCAACAGAGAAAAGGGTCAAATTGTATACTCAATAAAATCATCCGGATGATTTGTGTGCTGATTATTTCAAGATACAACGTTTAGTTAAAGGATCTGAATCTGTTTGTAAAGAAATTACCATAAAGACCTTTTACGGCCGAGAATTTACATTGATGATTAATAACGACCTCAACAAATTCTAAAGAGAAACCTCATGGTCAAATGGAAATCAAAGCCAAACGTAACCATTTGATTTCAAACCGCATGGCCTCCTTTCATCTCCTGTTGTACTAAATTTTGCCGCCATCAGGAATTTATCCATATAGGAAGATAAATAGCATGTACACCTTCTCAAATCTTAAATATTATTAATGAAAGGTGAAAAAAATCAAATGTACAGTTCACCACGCATTCACGTGAATGTTCCAAAAAAAAAAAATAAAAAAGTCACCTGTGGTTCATTTACTGAATCATAATAATTTTAAAATTTTTATGTAAAGCAAACGATATCATGGTTCAATCTATTTAATTTATTAATAATATTGCCTAAAAGTTTATTTATAAATACTAATTAACTCTAAGATGGTAATTTGATAAATTTTCTTATGTAATCGATAATACATGTACTTCATCTTACACACATAATAGATTTTCGATATTACATTACCGTTACAAACCAACTTTTATGAGTTAGCGTGTCACATCTTCCAACTATGTGCAAAAGCCTATTTTGTCACACCATCGTTGACTCAGCGTCTACTACAGCTACGGTGAGAAGCTTTTTTTTAAAAAAAAAATATAGTTCCAAGTTTCAAAATATTGTGCAAGATCACAATATAATAAATGCTCCCGAACATCAACCATAACGTACCTATATAATTTGCAACCGGATGTTAATTTTCTAGAATTTGAAGTTGAAATGGCTTTTATTACAAGAAAATCACCAAATTCTTCGTTAAAATAACTTGATAATATTAGTGTTAGCTCTAAAAACTGAGATTGCATCATAATACTTTAGTATTAAATTTGACGTATTAAGTGTTGAACGGATGTAAAAACTCACCAATATACATCTTTTTTTTCGAGTTTGATCGTCAATTCACCTAAAAAAAATAAAATTCCATTGGTGAGTGAGTCTAGAGAATTACATCATATTCTAGCTGAAAATATTCCTTGGTGCCTCTTAATATGCAACTCGATGATTATCCACCTAATTTTATTTACTTGAAGAACTGTTCTTCGCTCGTGACTTAAAAGATAAAATCTAAAATAACGATAGGAAAGATCGAATCGTTTCCTAAAGAAATTTGGATTCGAGTTTTATGTAGGCTTCGAGGGAGTATTTATCGTTATACTCACACAAAGGACAGTGGCTTGTTAACAATGTATGTAAAAACATACCTCCTCATCAAGGAAGTATAGCGTAAGTTTAAAATCATGAACCTAAAATATATTAAAACTAGAGCATCTCTGATTTTCATAACTTATATTAAATCGGTGGGGTTACTATAACTTTGGGTTTTAGTATAAAAATATTCGTCAACATTACCATCTTGACTTCATACTTGTTCGCATGAGATCGCATCCATCAACTAGTTTTAAATTATGCAAAATCAAATCGGAAATGTTTCTTCTCATTTTTCTCCGGATTAACGTTGAACTTTCTCAGTATTAACGGTAGCTTTATTATTAACCTTTCAAATAATTATTTATCTAATTGTATCCATACTAAGGGAATATGTAGCAATCATGGATGGAGTAAAAGTCCTGAAAATTTTCAAATAGATGTCTGGTAAAGCATATTATCATAAAAGTAATGTCTAAAACAATAATAAACCCATACAAATGACAAATAAAAAATGATTAATTACTATTATAATTTATGCTGTAACAGTGACCACGTTAGTTCTTCGATAGGTTCGGATAGAATAATTCCATCGTCAAAAGGCGAAGATTTGAAAAATTAGTGATTATTACTCTAATTCTTACGTTTGTTTACGTTAAACATGCTTCTTTCGAACGAGCATCCCTTCTTTCCATACTTCCAACAAGTATAGGCCGTTATTCCTCTATACTACTATTGTTTGGCTGCTTGCGGGAAAAGTTATTTGAGTTACGTGCATGTAAAATACCATTCAAAAATTCAAAATCAATGTTGAAAAAAATTGTTTATTAGTGTTATATTGATTTTAGAAAAATGAGTTCAACCCGGAATGATCAAAAAAAAATTTTCGAACCCAAGGCATCCTATTCATTTCACATACCATGCCTAGTGCTGTTTACCACTATACTAAATCAACTTTGTTGTTAATTTACTTAAAATATTAATAAATTAAAAAATTGCATGTAGCATGAAATTTAGAAATTGACGTTCGAGGTTTCGGCCTACTAATAAAAAATACTCAGATATCTCTATAGATTTATTTTTGATTTTTTAGTTTGTGAATTTTTCAATTGTAACATTTGCTCTTTTTTGACATTTTTAATTCACGCTTTCTGTCGTTCAGTTATATTATATTTTGAATTATGTTAAAATATAAATAAATAACTTTTAAATAAATATATGATTTGTGAAATAATTGGTTTAAAATTCTTGACTATTCCCTAATGATAATGATCTCACCTGAGAACCTGCAACAGGACCGGTGTGGTGTTAAATGAAACTAAACCGAAACAAAGTCAACAGGAACGACATTAAATCTAACTAAGGTTGCCAGACAAAACTCGGGGGTTCGATAGGTATCAAAATCAAAACCCGTCGAAACGTTTTTGCCAAATATTTTTTATAAAGGAAAAATTCCAAATGTTTTGACCGGTGGCAAAAGTTTCGACGGATGACAAAACCATCGAAACCTTCTGATATTTAAATACAATTTTTGAAATTTAGAAATTTATAATTTTTTTGTTTTACGTGTTGCTTTTCAAGAAAGGAAAGAAAGTTAGCAAAAGTGGTCTGATTTTCAAATGTTATTGCATTAATTCATGACAA